GGGGACAAGGAGCGGGGGGGTTGGGGGTTCTGAGGGGGGCAGTCAGGGGGTGGGAAGTGGGAGGGAGTGGATGGGTGTGGGGCAGGGGCGGGGCTAGAGCAGGGCTCCTCCCCCCCAGTGTCCTCTTTTTTGGTTGTAGAAATATGGTAACCCTACCGCAGACTATATAGTAAAACTTGAGTTCTGCTTAGCTATACCTTAACCAATCATTTTACTGAAATGTAACTAACCAATCCTAACATACTGTAACATGGTTATTTAACCAATTATATTCCACCACCTTAATTCCACCAACAAAATTAATTATACAGCAGACAGAAACAATTACAGAACCAGACAGAGACCATGCAAATAAACATACAAAACAATACAGAAGTGAGGATTTCACAACTACATCTATACAGACATAAGGGTTTTCCAGCTGTGTCTTATTGATAAGTGAGTTCTTACCAGACAGAAAACTATCAAACTAAATTTCCTGTTACAAGTTCTAAGCTCTTTCCTTTCTCTGTAGGTAATAGGAATATCAGGACAGAATTGTATCTAACAGCCCACTAGCACCTTATTTCCATGTGACTAGTTTGGAATGTGAGGATGTGACCGTTCACTTCCCAGTTTATGGCTGCCTCTGCTGCTTAGCCGAAGGCCTTAGCCTAAGAACCAGGCCTCAGACTGTTACAGAAGAGAAGGCCCTTACACATACAGAAAGTGCTTTTGATTCTTTCTTTCTTTTATACCTCTATAACTAGCTAACTGATAAGAATACACATAAATTCTTGAAGTATACGCCTTTACAGACAGGCCTGAGTATCTGTATCCTTACATTAGTCAGTGTAGTCCTCTTCTGTAACTAAATTCCTTAATTTTTTTTTAGTTTGTCCTTTTGAAATCAAGGACCCTTGTTTATCCTTCCATTTAGTTTAAACTGATTCATGGATATGACAAACTATATGAAAACTCATCCACTATTTGTATTTACTCAATATATGAATTGTACTGTTGTGTTAACTGCAGTCTAACATAACTAAAAGTACATATGGCCTGATCCTTAACTGATGTAAAGCATTGTAACTCCATGGAAATCAGTTGAGCTGTTGACATAAATTGAGGATCTGGCCTATAAACTTTGGCTATATCATCACCATATTAGGTGAACATGGAATACTCTTTGGTTTAATTACAACAGAATCCACAAGCATTTTCTAAGTAGGAATTGCCAGATTTTCAGTGTACCATTGGGCCATTTATGCACCTAAATGAGCTGATGAGCATATCTTTAGGCACCTATTTTTCAAAATCTTTCAACCTTTTAAAATCACAAATGGAGGTTCTTACTGTAAAGAAGCCACTCTTTCCTCCAAGTATGCAAAAAAGTGGCAATGGAGACATTAGATCCCATATCTTAGTAACCTTGGAAAGTGATGGGTTTTAAAACAACTGTTGCCTTTAATATAGCCTGTTGTATTCCTGTTTTTTGCTTATAGTCACTGTAGAGCTTTTGAAATAAAAGTCTAATCTTCTTGAGCTCTTTATCCACTGATGCCCTCCTTGATCATAGCCTCAGCCTGATCGGTGATCTGAACAAGAACAGATGGACAGGTTCTATTCTCCTGCAGAGTTCTTCCCTTTCATAAAAGAAAATACTGTATTAATGGTCCAAAACACTTGGGGTAATGATAGTGAAGTATTTAAGGACATTATTTATAAAACACTGTAGTGTTTAAGGATTGTACATGAGGATGATTCAAATTGACTTTTTGGTAATCCAGTAGTTTTTGAAGTTCATATTGCATGTGAGCCCTTCCCCATAGCTTTTCAATAAATCAATTGCGTTAGCTTCTTTCTTGTTTGAAATAAGGGAGGGAGAATCTAGGAAACAGGCTTTGGATTGCTTAGATAATGTTCTTGACCCCGAATTTCTTTGGGAATTTTTGACAAGATCCAATATCCTGAAAGTAGTCTCAGTCGACTGAGACTAATGGGGTTAAGATAATTATCCTATTGATTTTTATGATTGTGAAAATATCCAACTTGGTCTGTTGTGTGCAAAGGATCCTCTGGTCTCAGGACTGTTTAAATTAAGACTTTTAGTGCTAATCTCATGCTGTTTATTGTTTCTATAAATGAGGCCAATGTCACTAATGTTGTTCAGATGCTAGTGACTCAATGTGAAAACCCACAAAAATTCATCCTTCTCCAATTGTATACCAAGAGGGAATCAGAGGGGCCCGGGTGCCTGACTCCTCTGTACTGAGTTATCATGAGGGGCAAAAGCAGTTCCAGTGATCTTAAAAATCCAGTTCTCTTTCCGGAAGAGCAAGGTTGAGCAGAAAGGGTATGGTCACCTCAGTATATATACTCAGATCTTGGTATAACAGAACTCATGGTCATCGTTGTGCAGAAACTGAGACCTGACTTCAGCAGCCACCCAAATGGACTGGTAAAAATTGTTTGCTTAGTAGTTTTCAAAGCTGAATCAAATTTAATGGGACACTTGAGGGCTTCTTTTAACATGGTCACTAAATTCGGTTTGAAGTCCCCCTCAGTATAGGTTTCCTAACATTTTTTTAAAAAATGTTATCTTTAAAATGAAACAGTCTGTTGGTTAAAATGGAGCCACATCAGAGTATATCTAAATGTGGCATTGTAGGGTTAGGAATGTTTAACCCATGTAGCAGTCATAATATGGTAGATACTTTCAAAATAATCCACATTATTATTACAGATAAAAGGTAAAAGACCTAGTAATGAGACTAATTAGCATTGGAAACATGTAATATTAATAGAAAAAATCACAGAATATATGGATAGCTTTGGTGGATACTGTCAAATTATTAAAAAAGAGGCACAAGAAAGCAGTTGACTTAAATTGGTGTATTGTCTTTGAATGAAAGGAGTAGCATAAAACACATACGATTCCTTAAAAATCATCCTGGGAACTGCAGAATTAGAAATGCAGATTGCATTTAATAAAGTAACACAGGCTAATTTTCAGTGGATTTAATCTTCTCTACAGTTGTCCAGTGATGATGCTGTGAAGAGGGTGCTTGCTGGGGATAAAGCTGATATCAAAGGAAAGCCACCATCTACTTCTAAATCTCAAGATAAAGAAAACAGAGAATCCAGGGCAGAAGAACAAAAAAGCCATAAGGATAAAGAGGTGGGCTTTGCTGCATTTCTGGGGGGAAAATGGACTACAACTAGAAATATTTTGGGGTGATAAATACTGTGTAATGGAACTGGCTTGTGCTATAGTTTAATATTGCTTTCTACTCTATTTTTAGGGTAGAGGGGACAATGAAATAAAAGATAGAAGTACAAGCCGAGACAGAAAACCTAGAGAAGAGTTGAAAGAAGAAGAGAAGAAACAAAAAGAAAAGGAGAGAGACAAGCATAAAGATAATGAGGACAGGCACAAAGACCTTGAAGCGGACAATTTTAGAGAAGATGAAAAGCATGAAAGAGAGAGAAGCAAGAACAGAACCTCCAAACAAGGAAGAGAAACAGAAAAAAGTAGAGACAAAGAAAAAGGAGATGCGGAACGAGAAAAAGATCTGGAACGTGATAAAGGACAGGAGAAGGAAAGAAAAAATGAAGGAGGAAAAGAAAAGGAAAAATTGAAAGAAAGGGACAAAGAGAAGGGCAGGGACAAAGACCGTGAGAAAGACAGAGATAGGGGAAAAGAAAGAGAGAGGGACAGACGAAGGGAACGAGGCAAAGATGGGGAACGCTTGAAAGAAGGAGGAACGGATAAAGCAGAAAAAAAGGTAAAACAAACACTCTTATGGAAAAAAGGCCCCTTACTAATGTGTGTTCTCAGCCCTGTGGTATTGATTAAGTCTGTGTCTTTATATCACGTTTGCACATATCTTCATCTGACATTCTTGGTTGTCTGTGGTTAATTTAACGATTCTTAAGTGTCTTTGTTTTCACTAAGCAAAAACCTGCTTGCTTCATTAAATTAAAAGTAATGGAGACTCTTTCCTGTCTTCAGAATCCCTTTCCCCTCTCCCTTCTTTTTTTGTAGCAATTAATATGGATTGTGATTGCATGCACACATACACACTCTGCATACCTCCAGCTGAACGCTGCTTTGCAGAGGCAGCTCAAGGGGCTGTGGCGTGGATCCTGGATTCTGTTTATTCATGCTTAAAAAGACTGTGTCCTTTGTACTAGCCTTTACACAGCTTTTGTAAATGGCATCCAGCAAAGAGCATCTTGGAGCATATCAAAACCTTGAAGGTAGTGGAACCCCTTGCATCTCATTTGAAGCATTGTGTATTCTAGCTAAGAGGATCTTGGGCATCTGAGTCCTGGAAGTGACCACATAACCAGCATCCTCCCTACAAATGGCAGCTGTTGAAAATATTTTTGTGATATATTGGAGTCCTTGTAGACAGTAGCAGCAGGGTCTCAGTAAAGAAACAGTCCTGCAACAGTTCAGATATGCAGAAGGAGGGGACTATTTTCTCTTTTGTGTAAAATGATTGCTGAGGGGGAAGGGCTCTCATTATTAAACCACAAAATACAAACCAATAGCTGCCGCCTCTGATTTATAACATAATTTTTCTCTGGAAAGCTATTGCCCATTCTAGATTGTTTACTTCTGGTCCTCAGTCAAGAAATCTTTCAACTGCTACTACTGTGTCAGGGACAAAAATCTACTCCAGGTTGCTTCTTTGCTGGATCTGACAATGGTGACTGTCTTTACAGGCCTGACTCTCTTGAGCTGACTCTCTTCTCACCAATAAATCAATCGATGTAATTGCCAGTGGTAGATATCCTGATGTCGTCTGTGAAAAAACAAAATTTATGGCGAGAGTGGAGTAGATGGTGTAATAATTTTAAATCTCCAATGACACACCAACACCCTCTTGGAGTGCCATTAGAGGAAATGTTCCCTCTGAAGTTTTTAAGTTTCTCCAGGAGGAATAACACATGGCAATGGTTTTCAAACTTTTTACTGACGTGATCCACCAACTGCATTTTGTCTTTTGCCACCCACCATTACATATATGCACCTTCCATCCCAGCACTGCAGCCCTGATCCCGGCCAGGTATGGAGGGATGCCCTAGAGGAGGTGGGGGATGGATAATGAGCCTGTCCGTCGCTCAGCCTGCAGAGGTGGCTCTTGTCTCATGGGGCTGGCTCTGTCGTCCAATGGTTACGCCACGTGTCAGGTTGCAGTGCTTGGGGCAGGGAGAAATGTACATTGGCCTAGGGCTCTGTGACCCATCTACAACCTTCCCGCGACCCACTTATGGGTAGAGACCCCTTGTTTGAGAAACACGGACATATGGGACCATTAGCACTTAAATCCCCTAGTGGTAAAATAGCTGAATACTACTATGTGCTAGAAAGCCTTGATAACATCAGGTCTTTGTGGAAATCCCACCTCCTCCGTGATACCTTACTTTGAGCCGTTAGGTTCTGTATTGTACTTCCTGATCATCAAATTGGCATTGCTTTTCTGAATGGCAGTAGGGCAGTTAGTATAGAAGCTTGGCCCGTTTGGCCTTTCTTATGGCTGTCTGTCTTTAGACTTGATTGCTTGGTTCCAGCTTTGTTCTTGCTGGGAGTGCTGAAAGGAAGTCCACCAGCATCAAGCCATTTCCCTCCTACGGGGGTATTATGTCCAGCAGGATGTAAGGAACCAAAGGACATGAAAAGAATAAATTCCCTATAATTACCTATATACCAATGTATATAAATACAGGAATTGTGGAAAATTTATACGGGGTGTGAAGGGACACAAGGAGAAATCTATGGTCGGCAGAGTTAAGAACAATAAGGAGTTTTTAAAAGTATATTAGGAACAAAAAGAATCCTAACAATAGTATTGATCCATTACTAGATGCCAATCAACATGGGTTTATGGAAACCAGATCCTGTCAAGCTAACTTGATAGATCTTTTTGATCCTATTACAAGTTTGGTTGATGAAAGTAATAGTGTTGATGTAATAGACTTCTGTAAATCATCTGACTTGTACCGCATGACATTTTGATTTAAAAACTAGAATGAAATAAAGTCAGCATGGTACACATTAAATTGCTTAAAAGCTGACTGATAGGTCTCAAAATGGGGAATCATCATCCAATATGTGTGTTTCTAGTGGGATCCCAGAGGAATTGGTTCTCACCGCTGTGCTATTTTATTACTGATAAAGTTTGCAGATGAGACAAAAATTGGGGAGAGGTAAATCATCATGAGGACGGGTCACTGATACAGATTGTTTGCACCCAGGTTACCAAGCAATCCAGATCAAACAATATGGCATTTTAATATGGCTAAATGTGAATGTATACATCTAGGAACAAAGAATGCAGGCCATACTAACAAGATGAGGGACTCTATCCTGGGATGCAGTGACTCTGAAAAAGATTTTGGGATGGTAGTTGACGATGAGCTTCCAGTCTGATGCTGTGGCCAAAAGGGCTAGTGCAATCCTTGGCTGCATAAACAGAGGAATCTCAGTCTGGGGTAGAAAGGTTATTTTACTGCTATATTGGCAATGGTGCAGCTGCTGCTGGAATACTGTGTCCTGTGTGATGTCCACAATTCAAGAAGGATGTTGATAAATGTAAGAAGGTTCAGAGAAGGGCCACAAGAATGATTAAAAGTAGGACTGTCGATTAATCGCAGTTAATTCATGCGATTAACTCAAAAAATTAATCGCAGTTAAAAAAATTAATGGCAGTTTTAATCACACTGTTGAACAATAGCATGCCAATTGAAATTTATTAAATATTTTGGATGTTTTTCTATATATATTGTATTCTGTGTTGTAATTGAAATCAAAATGTATATTATTTTGATTCTAAATATTTGCACTGTAAAAATTATAAACAAAAATAATATTTTTCAATTCACCTCATACAAGTACTGTAGTGTGCAACCTCTTTGTTGTGAAAGTGCAACTTACAAATGTAGAAATTTTTTTGTTACAGAACTGCAGGCAAAAACAAAACAATTTAAAACTTCAGCGCTTACAAGTCCACTCAGTCCTCCTTCTTGCTCAATAACAATCCAAAGCAGCTTTCTTTTTTGATGGTTTGGGTCCCGTAGTTTCTGCATCAGAGTGTTCCTCTTTTAAGACTTCTGAGAGCATGCTCACCTCATGCCTAGACAAATTAGAGGATTGGGCCAAAAGAAACCTGATGAGGTTCAACAAGGACAAGTGCAGAGTCCTGCACTTAAGATGGAAGAACCCCATGCACTGCTACAGACTAGGGACTGAATGGCTAGGTAGCAGTTCTGCAGAAAAGGACCTGGGGTTACAGTGGACGAGAAGCTGGATATGAGTCGGCAGTGTGCCCTTGTTGCCAAGAAGGCTAATGGCATTTTGGGCTGTATAAGTAGGGGCATTGCCAGCAGATCGAGGGACGTGATCATTCCCCTCTATTCTACATTGGTGAGGCCTCATCTGGAGTACTGTGTCCAGATTTGGGCCTCACACTACAAGAAGGATGTGGAAAAACTGGAAAAAGTCCAGCGGAGGGCAACAAAAATTATTAGGGGCTGGAGCACATGACTTATGAGGAGAGGCTGAGGGAACTGGGATTGTTTAGTCTGCAGAAGAGAAGAATGAGGGGGGATTTGATAGCTGCTTTCAACTACCTGAAAGGAGGTTCCAAAGAGGTTGGATCTAGTCTGTTCTCAATGGTACCAGATGACAGAACAAGGAGTAATGGTCTCAAGTTGCAGTGGGGGAGGTTTAGGTTGGATATTAGGAAAAACTTTTTCACTAGCAGGGTGGTGAAGCACTGGAATGGGGTACCTAGGGAAGTGGTGGAATCTCCTTCCTTAAAGGTTTTTAAGGTCAGGCTTGACAAAGCCCTGGCTGGGATGATTTAGTTGGGAATTGGTCCTGCTTTGAGTAGGAGGTTGGACTAGATGACCTCCTGAGGTCCCTTCCAACCCTGATATTCTATGATTCTTAAACTCTGGGTCAAGCACTACAGCTATCTTTAGAAATCTCACATTGTACCTTCTTTGCGTTTTGTGAAATCTGCAGTGAAAGTGTTCTTAAAATGAACAACATGTGCTGAGTCATCATCTGAGACTGCTATAACATGAAATATATGGCAGAATGTGAGTAAAACAGAGCAGGGACATTGAACTCCTTGGGGGAGAATTGTAGCACAAATTTAATTAACGCATTTTTTTAGTGAGCGTCATCAGCATAGAAGCATGTCCTCTGAAATGGTGGCTGAAGCATGAAGGGGCATACGAATGTTTAGCATATCTGGCACAAATACCTTGCAATGCCAGCTACAAAAATGCCATGCGAATGCCTGTTCTCACTTTCAGCTGACATTGTAAACAAGAAGCGGGCAGCATTATCTCCTGCAAATGTAAACAAACTTCGTTCGTCTGAGCGATTGACTGAACAAGAAGTAGGACTGAGTGGACTTGCAGGTTCTAAAATTTTACTTAGTTTTATTTTTGAATGCAGTTTTTTTGGTACATAAATCTACATTTGTAAGTTTCATGATAAAGAGATTGCACTACAGTAGTTGTATTAGGTGAATTAAAATATACTATTTCTTTTGTTTTTTATAGTGCAAATACTTGTAATGAAAAATAAATATAAAGTGAGCTGTATGAATTGCTGTACATTTTGTATTCTGTGTTGTAATTGAACTCAATATATTTGAAAATGTAGAAAACATCCAAAAATATTTAAATAAATGGTATTCTGTTATTGTTTAACATTGTGATTAATTGCGATTAATTTTTTGAATCGCTTGACAGCCCTAATTAAAAGATTAGAAAACATGCCTTATAGTAATAGACTCGTGGAGTTCAATCTATTTAGCACTTAACAAAGAGAAGGTTAAGAGGTGACTTGATTACAGTCTATAGGTACCTATAGGGGAACAAATATTTAATAATGGGCTCTTCAATCATAGAATCATAGACTAGAATCATAGAATATCAGGGTTGGAAGGGACCTCAGGAGGTCATCTAGTCCAACCCCCTGCTCAAAGCAGGACCAATTCCCAACTAAATCATCCCAGCCAGGGCTTTGTCAAGCCTGACCTTAAAAACCGCTGAGGAAGGAGATTACACCACCTCCCTAGGTAGCCCATGAAGAATGGGTTCTAGCAGAAAAAGGTATAATATGATCCAGTGAGTGGAAGTTGAAGCTAGACAAATTCAGACTGGAAATAAGGGGTACATATTTAACAGTGAGGGTAACTAATCATTGGAACAATTTACCAAGGGTCGTGGTGGATTCTCCCTCACTGGCAACTTTTAAATCAAGATTATTTTTTTTTCCTAAAAATATCTGCTCTAGGAATTAATTTGGGGAAATCCTCTGGCCTGCCTTCTATAAGAACTCAGGTGATCACAGTGGTCCTATTTGGCCTTGGAATCTATGAATCTGTAACGGATCACACACTTGTTAGTTCTCTCTCAGACAAGGGACATATTCCCAGTCATTGCTCCCTGCATGTGGTCTTCTCTTGTCTAGAACTCGTAACGTCTTAAGTTCCATCTCCTCATTGTTTTTCACTTCATCACTCAAGCTGAGGCTTTTTGGATGCTGGGTCCTGCTAACTTTCTCTAAATCTTTCCTAGCTTCTGTTTCTCTTCCGGTGCTTGCCATTTGCCAATAGTGACTCCAGATTAGGGGACATCTGGAGTGTGAGGACAGGTTAATTTTTGTGTGTGAGAAGATAATTACAGATACATATCCCCCCAATCTGGAGGTTTCTTTTCCGTCTGGGATTGCTCAGAAAAGGTGACATCTTAAAAGGTTTACTTGTTTGTTATCAGTGGAAGCATACTTGGGTGTGTGGTGCCATCTGAGGTTTCTATACAGGCTCTGCACTCCACCAAAACTCCACCATCAGAGAACTCCCTTTGTCCTAAGGATTATTACACTCAGCATTACTGTATATTGATTTTTATCATCAAGGTTTTTCCTTTAAGTGGCTTAATGTAGGTCATATATTGATATTAAGTATCTCAGTGGTTGGATATATAGCAGCTGTTTCTCTTCAGTCCACAGGATCTGAGGATACTTTAGCTAAGAAAACAGAGAGATCTTCTAAAGACACCAAGACTGAGCCAGATAAAGAGGTAAGTATTGCAAAGCAATACAAAAGCACAATCAAGCTGGCTATTTAAAGTTTTAGAATATATTAACTCATACTGAGCTCTGGGAGTTTGCAGTGGAGCTGGAACAATTTTTATAGTTGGGAGCTGAGAGCCATTGAACCAAAGTGTAAACTCTGTATATAATGGAAACCACTTTAAGCCAGGGGGTGCGGCAGCGCCCCTAGTTCTAGCACCTATGGGAGTCTGTTACCTGAGGATTGCTGTGACAATTTAAAAAAAAATTGTTTTAGATTAATATAAAGTTGTGGGATGCGAAAGCAGGTATATCACTCTGGGCCTAGTTTTGGGGATGCTCCAGCGTCCAAGAAGCTGGCTTTTTAATGAGAGTCAGTCGCTGGTGGGGTGTCATTGGTGCTAAGGACTCAGGTGCCTTCTTACAGCCAACAGATTCTCCTGTGAAATAGTGGCAATGGGGAAACCTTCAACTAAGCTGATGTTTGGAGTCGAACCTGCTTGGAATCCAGTTTAGTTGACCTTCAGGCTTTCTTAAAAGGGCCAATGTGCAGTTACTTTTCTTTCCATTGCCACCTTCAGTGGCACCCGTTGCTCTTTTGCAGTCTATCCACCTTCCATGATGATGTGCTAGAATTGGATGAAGAGGAAATAGGTTGTGATATCAGCCAAGTGGTCATAACTGAACAGAAGCTGCAGAGCCTCTGTAGCTTCTGTTGATATCACTGTGTCTGCATCTGTTGCCTCCTGATGACTGCAGGCAGTTTTGGGAGTTTTAGAGATGAGACTAAAATATTTTTGTAAAGCAGTAGAGACTAGAAAAAAATTTAAAATAGTAGGTAAGATGCCAAGGCTAGCAGGAATCTCTGTAGGAGTCTGTGGACTACTCACATCATCATGGCTTTTCCATTAGATGACAAATTTTTATAGACATTCTTTGACTAAAATCAAACCAGACATTTTAAAATATTGGCACTTGGGCTGAGAGCTTATGCACTAGTTTTAAATTTGAAGCGAATTGTTATGGCCAAGTTAAACTTCCTGCGAATGGGGTTTCTAGTGGAAATTCTGAGCCTGATCCCAAACTAGAGCAGTGCTCTTGGGCACCACAACAATGTACTTGTATCAGAGGAGTAGCTGTGTTAGTCTGGATCTGTAAAAAAGCAACGAAGAGTCCTGTGGCAAAGGTGCTAACTTTTAGACCAACAGAAGTATTGGAGCATAAGCTTTCGTGGGTGAATACCCACTTCATCAGACAAGTGGGTATTTACCCACGAAAGCTTAAGCTCCAATACTTCTGTTAGTCTATCAGGTGCCACAGGACAACAGTGTACTAGAGCAGTAAAGTTCCACTTCCTGTCGTAAGTGCTTTCTGGAATTATTCTAGATCATTTTGGTTTATTACCTTCACTTTAGATGACATGCTTCTCTTTCACTCACATGCAGAATAGAAGACATTGCGTTGTCTACAGTTGATTAAAACACGCACTGTAGACCCATACATGAGAAATGGTCACCTCACTGGATTGGGGGGGAAGAGAGTGGAATGAAAATGTTCCTAATGAATCCCTAGAATCAAAGAATTAAGATACTCTCTCACAGTGTTTTGGAAGAAATTTCAAAAATGAAATAAACAAGAAAAGCATCTTACTAGACTGGGACTAATCCTCATATCGCACTAGCAGTACACTAATGTAGTTCCATTAACTTCCATGGAGTTGCTCCTGATTTAAACTGCTGTTACTCCATATATGCATTTTGAAACAACCCTTATGTAGAGGGAGTGGTAAGTGTTTAGTTTGATTCACAACGGTCTTCGCTTGTCAAGATACTTGTGGCTGTGCTGCTCATACTTCATCCATAATGATTTTTTGATATAGCATGATGTAAGACATAACACGATAAAAGTATCTTTTATTTGACATGTAGAGTAAGTTGCATTGCTGCCAGTTTTAAACCCCTAATTATGACTGTGACGAACTGGGACTGTTCTTACTGTGGTCTGTGAATGCTGACAGGGGAGTGTGGCTAGGATAGTCTGCATTGGGGGATGGGAGACTGCCCGAAGGAGAATATCTGAGCATGTAACATGAGAACCCAGGAAGTGGTTGGAGGCCAGGTGACACCTTGGCCCGGGAAACTGAACAAAGGCTGTGGGAGGGGTCGCTGAAGGCAGAGTGCTGGAAGCTGGCTGGTGAGATGGCTGGGAGGCAGAGATAGCTCTGACCTACCAAGGGGGGCTGGGTGGTGCAACGCAGGGAACCCCAAGCTGGGGTCTAAGCTCCCTGAACCTCCCAGAGGGACCTAATTGAGGGGGTCTGGTCGTACCTACACGCTCTGCTTGAGACTGTGTTCCTGTCCTTAAATAAACCTTCTGCTTTACTGGCTGGTTGAGAGTCACAGTGAATCTCAGGAAGAGGGGTGCAGGGCCCTGACTCCCCCACACTCCGTGACAATGACAATAGAAACTTAATGTTGGCATGCATTACTGCTGTTGACTTGTCTGTGTAGGAGAAACTGTTTCCAGGCCTTCTACTCATATATCTTTTTATATCAATATTACACACACATAGCTACGATCAAGCAGTCAAAAGTTAGGAAATGCCAGAATTAAGGGGCCAGTGCAGCCTTACTTTGGCTCCCTTTTGTGCGTGCATTGTTATAGCCTTTAATTACCTACTAATTTTTCCATGTGACCCCTTCCACCTTTAGTACACAGGATAGACTGCTCCAGTTTGTGCAGTGAAGGAGACTGCTGTTTGTAGGAATCCTACCTCATTTGTTGCAGAAGTTGGAAGGTGTGTAGTGAGTGAGGCAGGGGATGGCAAGAAGAGAAAAAAACATCTCATAGTAAAGATGGTTGAATGCTGCCCTGGAGAATTGGATTCTATCCCTACCTCTGCCAGAGAGTTCCTAGGTGATGCTGGGCAAGTCACTTAAACCAAAATGTTCACAGGTGATTACTAACTTTGTGTTTCTCATTTTCTGGGTATCCAATCTGAGACACTTGGGGTGTGATTTGTGGAAATGTTGGGCATTCAGCTGCAATTAAGGCCAATGGGAATGGTTGCTGAATACATAAATTGCTACATAATGTACGTATATATTTATGCTCTGAAAAATTAGGTTTTAGTAGTCTCATATTGGGCACCCAAAGTTAGTGGATATTTTTGATCTTAGTCTCTCTCTATCTCAGCTACCCATCTGTAAAATGGGGAACCATCACCTCACAGGAGTGTTGTGAAGATAAATGAACATTTGTGAAGCACTTAGATACTATGGTGATGAGTGCCACAGAAAAGCCCATGAAGAAGATAAGAATTCTGTATCGGAGCAGTGTTTGAATAATGTGAAGTGAATAATGTCTGGGGCCACACAAAGAGGGGAAAACAAAATATTGAATAGGGGCTCATTAATTAAGCCCCATCCATCTGTGCACTGAAAGAGGCAGGGGTTCTATGGGAAAGCAGTGTGTGATCATGTACAGAAAGCCTATATATCGTAATGCATATGCATGGGCAGCCTTAATTCTTGCACTTCCTCACTTTTGAATGTTTAGACTTTGCAACCTTTGTTATGTTCTTTTAATGTAGTGGTGGTTTATTAGACACCTGAAAATGACACACACAAAGCAAACTGAAGAAAAAAATCCATCATATGGCATCATATTGACACCCACCAAACGCATGATTGGAACATTTAGGTCAGTAGTTCTCAAACTTTTATACTGGTGACCCCTTTCACATAGCAAGCTTCTGAGTGTGACCCCCCCCCCCTTATAAATTAAAAACACTTTTAAAATATATTTAACACCATTATAAATGCTGGATGCAAAGCAGGGTTTGCATCCAGCACCTTCCAACTTCTGCAACAAATGAGGTAGGATTCCTACAAACAGCTCGCGACCCCCCCCATGTAATAATCTTGTGACCCCCTGAGGGGTCATGACCCCCCAGTTTGAGAACCCCTGATTTAGGTCCTCCAAACAGACCTCTGCCACTTGACACAGAGGACTCCCTTAGTTCCTTAGTTCCTCCTCTATGTGGATCAGACACTGCAGGAGGTTGCAATACATATTTTGCCAGTGGGTTTCACAGATATTTGTTGACCATGGAGGAATGGTGAGACTCAGTAATCTTGGGTGCCATTCTAGCCTGCGGAGGACAGTGTACTCTTGTGGTCATAGACCCTTTTGCCTGCTCTCCTTCTCCCTTCCAACTTGTTTCTGTACCAGTTCTTTTTCCCCATTCCTGGCTCGTCACCTCCTTGACTATCCCGTCCCAGTCTCCACTCCTTATGCTTCTTGTCTTAGTCCCAGTCTCCTTGTGCATCCTTAGTCTCTGGCTCCTCATCTGTTCTGTTCTCCTTTCACCCACACTGGTTCCAATTCCGTGTCTCCCTCTCTGGGCTCTTCATCCACCCTCAATCTATACCACCACATACCTGGCTCATCGTCCCAATCTCTTTGCCCAGCCAGTCACCTTTTTCTCTCCCCACACTCCAGATCTGTTTCCACTCCTGGCTCCCAGTCATTTTCTCTCTCCCCTCCCACCTTTAGTTTGAGTTTTACCAGGCTTCTTGTCCCAATCTACTCCTTTCCCTCTATCTGGTCTGGCTCCTGTCCCTTCTGCATTCAAGTCAGGCACCTTCCTGTTCTTTTCTGACTGGGCACCAGCAGAGGGGATATTAAAAGTGCAGGAGAGACAGGCTCCCTGCTCTCAATTCTGATGCCTGCAGTGTTTCAAGCTGAATAGTTTGAATACTACATTTAAGAAAGCTTTGTTCATTTAGAAGTCTATCTTAACACTTTTAATGTATACTGTCTCTTAGACCTCAGTTTGCTAACCATGCTTGTTTGAGATTAGACTTCTAGACTAGATTTTGTGTGTGCTTCTCTCTTCTCAGAATTTGTAATATTCCTCTTGCTATTTATCTCCAGAAGTCTGAGCACTGGGCAAATGCCTTTAAATTCTTGCATATTCTTTATTAAAGAAAATCTGTTCTGTCAC